GCCTCCTCAGCATCTGGGAAGCCATCTTCATCATTGCCCTCTTCTTGACCAGGGTTTTCCTCATAGCTGGCAGCGTCTTTTTCTGAATCAGCTGCCTGACCATCATCCTCTTCTGACCTATCATTTTTCCTATCCTCATCTGTGAACTCAGCATCTTCATTTTGCTCAAGGGTTCTAATCAATGCTTCAAGATTTTTCTTCGTAGCATCTAGCTCCTTACAAGTTTCCTTTAGCATGTCAATCACTTCAGCTTTTCTTAATTTTGAATTTCCCTTGGATGTCTCAGCTGATGTTACAACAATGTTAGGAGCATGAGTTCCCTGAAACAACTTGTAGTGGAAGGTTAAAGGGTTTTCTCTCTTGCAAGTTGTATCACTCTCCTTGAGGATGTTGGGATGCTGATCACAAATGATTCCACAGATAAGTGAGGGGAATGCAATAGGGCCTTTGACACTATAGCTGCCAACAGTTTCATGGTTTGATCATGAATGTAGGTCCCATAATTGAATTTAGCTTTTGTCCCTACAACATACATGAATCTCCCCAGAATGGTTGCAACAGTTGTCTTATGATTGGTAGGCACCCAATTTGTTGCACCAATCTTGTGTAGCATAGAATATTTCATACTTAATTTGCTTGTAGCCAGCTTCCCTTTGGATGGCCAGCACTTGACCTGGTTTACAGTTATTTCTTGACACACTTGGTTGTCAGAGGCAGTCAGTTCATTCTGAGCTTCATTTGCTCTCCCAAAGTAGCTGTTGATGATGGTTGTTGAGAACTTGATACATTTTGTAACACCCCACTTCCCAAATCAATTAAAATATAAATATTATAAATAAACATCAGAGTTATTCACCTCCCAAGTGGGATATCACATACTCAAATCCAACACATCCTTCATTAAAAATGTTTTCACCAAAATACAGCGGAAATTGTTCATATAATGAAATACATCAAATTCATGATACGTCACAGGAAAAGAAATAAGTTCAACAAAAACAACTAAAACACCCAAGTCCCGTGCTATGTATCAGAGCATCCTAAGACTCGACTGGCACACCATAAATCCAAGCTAGCTAAGTACCTGGATTATCTGCACTTCCGAAGAAGCACAGACCACAACAACAGCAAAGGGGTGAGAAAACATGATCAAAATATATCGGTAATTACATACATGAAATAAAGGTAGTAACGACAACAGTCATATCAATCATCACCCAACATTCACCAAACACGACATATAGTCCACCAATCAACATAATACATCATAATGTAAATATGCAACGCAACACCATGCATGCGGTACCGACTCATTGGTTCATTCTATGTGAACCCGGATAGATCACATACACCCACCCTTGGCCATGATCCGTCCCTACCAATTCCCCACTCAAAGGAATACAAATGGATCACATACACTCCATCGAGCAATGACTCATTCCACCAACACTTCATAATATGCATGACACCAAATGCACACAAATCAACACAAGCACACTAACTGCACACGATCCAGTGATCACATCACCATACATCATACATGCTTACACATCGAACTATTATTATAATTAAGTTCACACGATCTCCCTGATCCCATCACTGTACGTCATTCGTACATCTCCTAATCAAGTAATTGCTTTAATCAAAGCTACACGATCCCCCCGATCCTACCACCGTATCCCATACATACTACACACCAATCTATTACAACGATTTAGTTCAATCACTATAAGATTCCACCGTCCAATGCTAGTCCATTATGTTAATTCATCTTAATATACACGATCCTACTGCCCATACCATCTTACCTCATATATCTATTATACACCACTCATTTGTATTAACGAAGTTAACTCTATACTGTAATACCCTAATTTTTACCCCTAAGATCCCACATTGCATTTTCATTTTTGCATACACAAACAAGACCATACTTTTTGATTTTTCTTAGGTCCCTTGTTGTTTCATACTTGCTTTATGTTTGTTTCTGTTTACTAACATCTAACCAAAATATCAAAAATATTTTCCAATTTGTTTGTTTCTTCTTCTTCTCTGTGTGTTTAGGGTTTTGCAAGGAGATTGATGGCAAGGACATTCATTAAAATCTAAATCAAATGGAAGTTTGACCTCATCTTGGTTAAACTATCAAGAGATTGCTTCAAGTGCAAATTGGTTGTGGCAGTGGGTTATTTTCTCAGGAACAATGATTATTCAAGGTCAAGTGGTCTTGTGGAGAATCATCAGTTTATTAAGCAGTGTTCTATGAGAAGTTTGCCCTGTTTTAATCAAAGATTCATAGTTTTGTCTGTACAAGTCAAGTTTGGTGGATGTTCAATCAAGATGTTTGTTTTGGGATGCAAGTTCAAAGTGTTCATTCAAGTGTGCAATTTCCAAGTGATTCTAAAGCATGTTTGAAGTTTAATCTTTGGGTTCATTATGACATCAATTTCTTAAGAATTTTTTTTATTCAAGAATTTGATTCAAGTTAAATTTGGAAGAGACATGCATATGGCTTACTTGGAATACAAGTTACTTGAAAATTTAAGGCAAGAGTTCAACAAGACAAGACATTTGTCAAAGTTCAAGGTCCAGATACAAATGTTCAAATAAAGGCAGAGACCGGGAATCCACTTCAGAGATAATGTTCTGCATACTAATAATCAAATGAGGAGAGCAAGGTGTCGGTTCCCTTGTATAGATGACAATTTACAGCAATGCTGCTACAACTCGGAGTTCAATGTAGCACGCAATCTCGTGGCTGTCAATACTGGAAGCTTATTATACCAGGTCTTAACCAAGGACAATCCTCCTCGGAAAACGTGTCTCTAAATTAGATGTTCCATTTGCTGCAAGGTGGATATCATTGGCTGTTGCCCCATTTAAAGTTCTTCCCGATCACCAATTTGGCCTCATATCACATCTGTGTTTGGCACCGAATCTGGAAAAAATACATCATACAGTGGAATTCTTCCATAAGGCTTTCAGCTTCCATAAGGATTATCTTTCTGTAGACTTCCCATTTGACTCGTACAAGCAAGTTTTTGTAGAGATTGAGATGGCATTTTCATCATTAAGTTTAGGAGCCTCTATGAGTGTATTTACTTCTCAAATTTTGTTTGATGAGAGGTTATTGACCAGACTATTGATACACGGATAAAACTTGCTTATGCCCTTGCAAGACAGTGGAGTCACCAAATGATGAGTGGCTTGGAAGGACTCGCTGGTTTCTTGGCAGATTTTTTTTAAGAAGAATTTGATTAATAGTGAAGCACATGCACCATCATCTTATACAGGATTGGAGCAGCAGTTCCACGTGGATTTGGTCGTTTGAGGCCTGCCAACAAACCTTATTTAATCACCGGTTCTGGCGATAACAGCAAAGGTATGGGATTATCAGACCAAAATTTGTGTTCAGACCCTAGATGGTCACACACACAATGTTTCTGCTGTGTATGCTTTCATCCTGAACTGGTTCTGAAGAGAAGTACAGAAGCGCTTGCGAGACGCAAAGACCACATCATCGATGCTGGGATCGGTGCAATGCTTAACGAGCTTAGCAGCACAGTTGTATTTGAGCGGCCACATGATGAAGAATTTATTCGCAAATGGCAGTTAGTATGCAAGGGGAACGTCGCTCATGTGTTGATGATGCCAAACGTCACTATTTAGAAACTTGAAGCTTCTGATGCAGATCATGAAATAATCTCCATGCCAAAGCAGTCCTTGATGTTAGTCCTAGTAGCAACTCTTCGTGGGAGTTTATGAAGAGAATACTTGTTTGCAAGGTGAACTTTAAGAATGAACCAAATGATCGTCGCCTAATTTTATACTTGAATGATTGTGATTGTGGGAGGAGTTATTGTGGTGAAAATGCTGCATATCTGGTTAAAAATCAATTGAGAAAAGTAAGCCTCAAAGATGCTGCCCTGGATTTCATTGTTGAATACCAGCAACAGCGAAGACGCAGTGAAATTCCTGAAGATGCAGGCCTTGTTGGTCATATTCATCATGATGAGGCACTATGTCTTTGTTCTTCTGATGCTGAAAATGGCAGCCACAGGAGCAAGGGTTCAAGGAGATCTGCACCTTATTCGAGCAACAAATTTCTCATTCTTCTTCCGCCGATAAGTCTCAGATTTGGAGCCAAATTCAAACAATACTCTAACTTCCCCGACTTCAATAAATACCTTGCGTTCATCTTTTCTCAGGCTCAGAAAAATGCGGCAATAGCTGCTTGGTCTGCATTGAGAAAATTGTCAGAGAATCAGTTATCTTCCTCAACTTCATCCTCATTTTCTTCTGAGTCTAAAAACAATGAAGAACAAGAACATGTCATTATTTCCCGTGTCCTTGCGAGTTTACGTTCATCTGGATCAAAGAACTTACCGAAAAGTGATCATCAACATAGATGGCAAAACTCCAATAGAGCCTCATTGGTGTCAACCCATCCAACTTCAGGGATGTATCCTATGCAATACCAGCATTGTGAAATCTCTAACTTCTCACCTGAGTTGGTTCTTTATCAGATTTGGCAGCACGAACAAATCATGCAGCAACAAAATCGCCTGTTGGCACTAACCATTCATCCAATTATTTCACCCGCAGATTTATCCGTTAATGCCATTTGTGATCCCGCCAGATCACTATCTTTATTTTCCAGCTAACGAGTTAGCATCAGTTCCCATGAGACCAAAATTTTCAATTACCACTCCAAGGCCTCCATGTTACTTTCCAAACCAAACTGTTCATGAGTTAAACAGGGGGAGGTCAACCGTAATCATTAGAGAGATACAAGAGGAAAAAACAGAAGACCCCTCAGCAGCTTGCAACTTTAGCAATGAGACGAGATCCCCATCATCAGCTCCCGAGATCGAGAGACATAAACACGAGGGCTCTAGAAGCAACAGTAGTAGTAGAAATGATGAACTGAGAAAAGGAACTGTTTATTCAAAGTGTCTAAACTATATCCCTCATTCTTAAGTGATAGAAATCTCGCATCTATGACAGATAGTGGATGGGATATGCATGCTAATAACAAGGGTGATGATGAACTTGCATTCTCCATGCTGAACCACAATTTGCTCATCTATATGATCTGTCCTCACTGCAGGCATTCTAGGAATAAGAAAGACAAAGCAGATGTTAAGTTTGCTAGCGGTATCTCACAGATTAAAAGGATTTTTATGGTCACACCAGCATTTCCTGTAATACTAGCCACATGCCCTGTTGTGCAATTTGAGGCATCATGCCTGCCTTCATCAGTTCCAGATCGTGAACGGAAATTGCAGTTTAGCCTTGGATGTCAAGTGATCTTGCCACCAGATAGCTTCCTTACCCTTAAATTACCATTTGTTTATGGTGTGCAGCTTGAAGATGGAAACAAGCATCCTCTTAATCCCTTTGAACAACAGCCAGAAATGACTGCCTGGATAACCAAGGGCACAGTACTGCAGATTTTGTCCAAAGGGAGCAGTGATGAGGGATATCAAACATAGTAAATGCTGACTAAATCTTTGTGGCCTATTTTAAATCTAAATGAAAGGGTTTCAATAGCTGATCCAGAACCCAGGATGAGGAATTTTGTGGATGATCAGTATGAAGATGATTTTGATGATGAAGCTGGGTATAAGATGTACCGTGTTCAAGTAATTCTTAGAGAATGGTTTACAAGAGATGAAGTCCGTCATTTCATAGCCAGGAAATTCAAGGATTTCTTACTCACTTATGTCAATCCGAAGAATGAACATGGAGATTTTGAGTATGTACGTCTGATTAATGAAATGGTGTCAGCTAACAAATGCAGTTTGGAGATAGATTACAAGCAATTTGTCTATGTCCATCCCAACATTTCCATTTGGCTGGCTGATGCACCTCATTCTGTTCTAGAAGTAATGGAAGATGTTGCTAAAAGTGTCGTCTTTCAGTTACATTCAAATTACAAGCATATACATCAAAAGATTCATGTTCACATTACCAACTTACCAGTTTATGATCAGATCAGAAATATTAGACAGATCCATTTGAATACAATGATCAGAATTGGCGGAGTTGTAACTAGGTGCTCCTCAGCTAATTACAATTGGTGCAGATAAGACATTAGCTATATGGGACACGATCTCCTTTAAGGAGCTGCGGCGTATAAAGCCAGTTCCAAAATTGGCTTGCCACAGCGTGGCTTCTTGGTGTCACCCTCGAGCTCCAAACCTTGATATTCTAACCTGTGCCAAAGATTCTCACATATGGGCAATTGAACATCCCACATATTATGCTCTCACTAGGCCATTGTGCGAATTGACAACAGTTATTCCTCCACATGTTCTTGCTCTTAATAAGAAACAGAGGGTGTATTGTATGGTTGCACATACTCTGCAGTCACATCTTGTTGCTATTGGAACCAATATTGGTGTTGTTATCTGCGAGTTTGATGCTAGATCTCTTCCACCTGTTGCTCCCCTACCTACCCCACCAGACAGTAGAGAGCATTCGGCTGTATTTTTAATTGAAAGGGAGTTAAAGCTATTAAGTTTTCAACTGAACAACTCTGTAAATCCATCTCTTGGAAATAACAGCTTCTTGTCGGAAACAGGAAGACCTCAGGGAGATTCTTTTGAACCATTGTCTGTCAAGCAGGGGAAGAAGCACATTAGCACACCCGTTCCTCATGATTCGTATTCAATTCTTTCTGTAAGCAGTTCAGGAAAGTATTTAGCAATCGTATGACCAGATATTCCTTATTTCTCTGTCTACAAGGTCAGTGATTGGTCAATTGTTGACTCTGGCAGTGCAAGGCTTCTTGCTTGGGATACTTGTCGTGACAGATTTGCTATATTGGAATCATCATTACCTACCCGAATTCCTATAATTCCCAAAAAGAACAAAAGAAGCTGCTGCAGCTGCTGCTGGTTCTTCAGCTTCTGTTCAAGTGCGAATCGTGATGGAACATCAAATATACTAATGAGGTCTGTTGATTTCTCTGCTGCTTGTGTTAACCTTGATAATTCCAGAATGTCAGCTGATAACCTGTCACAACAGAGTAATTCAAATGAGATTGCAAGCCATTTGAATTTCAGAGAACACTCAGGAGAAAGTGTTTATGTGGATAGCAGTTTATACACCAAAGCTTATACATTTGAAACACGAAGAGGATTCAAATGCCTGTTCAAAGTTACCCAGCTGGAAGCATGATGGAGTGGCAAATGACAGCTCTATTTCACAGATTACTGTGAATAAGGAGAATTCAAAAAGCCATTCTCATAATTCAAAAAGTCATTCTCGAGGAGCAGATCGTATCAAACAAGCGGTATCAAGAAGCGGCGGGAAATAGAATTCTGTGGTAGCAGAAGCTTTGTTTTTATCCAGACTATTTTCACATATCCAAGACATCAACCAAGCCATATTCACAAGCTGCAGCAAAAATGAGTAGCATATGAGCCAGCTAAAAAATAATCCACGTCACGTAATAAGTTGAAGTCAAAAAGAAAAAGTAACACGTCATACAGAAGCTGAAGGAAAATTGCAAAAACTACATGAAAAAGTTTCTCCACAAGTCACGCACAACTTGCAACAACCAAAACGCACAGAAAATACCCAAACGGCAAAACATTTTCATTCTCCTCCATCTATAAATACCACTCATATCTCCTTCATTTCTTCAAGCTTGAAAAGCCAGAAAATCCCTGCTGAAAACTTGCCAATACTCATCTTCAACCTTCAACCGAACTACTTCGATCAATTCCAAATTCACCATTCTTCATCACTCTTCTTCCATTTCCTTCAAATTCTTTCCCATTTCAAAGCAAATTGGAGCTAGAGCAGTAGAAGAGAGAAGAAGAAAGTTTTAATTGACATTTACCTCGACTTTGAAGGTAGTTTGGAGTGAATTTCTCTTTTCCGCTTCGTTTCCGTTGTCGATCATTCTTGAAATTGTTGGTTGCATCATGTGAAACTTTTCATTTCGATCGATTTCGTATACCTTTCAAGCTCCGCCGCTGCCTGATTGAGCTCCAACATCACGGAGAAAGTGATGGCATTGAGAGCTTCAACGTGAAGCTTCACGAGGAAGATGGTTATTCTGTTTGTTTTTCTTTCTCTTTTTTTTTCCTTTTCAATTTTGTTTTTTATTTCAATTTTTCTTTCTTTTTTTTATTATTTCTCTTAAGAACCGCGCCGTGTGGGCCTTCCTTTTTTTTCTTTTTGTTATTAGTTTATATTTTAAATAATATTCTTGAAGAAAAATCTTGAAAAATTATTTGAAAAATATTTTAATTTGGATTAATTGTTGGTTTGTTTTGGATCCTAAATTTTGATAAAATTTCATCAATATCAATGGACTTTGGGTGTCGATTTTATCCACCAAGAGAGGTGATTGATATTGATGATGATTTAATCGATTTAAGATTCAAATTGAAATTTCTTTTCATTTTAATTTTCTTTCTTCTTCTTTTTATTTTTGATCGATGAAATCTATGGATCATAGATTGTTGATTATCAAGGTTGTTTAATCTTCATTATTTCAAATCTATGGATGAATAATCATTGAGATAATTCTCCGTACTTTGGAATAGTGATAGATTACCTTTGATTAATTGATTAAAAATCTTGATTATGATGAGATCACTATCTCTTTTCTTTTTGTGTGGCATGTTTTAGGAGAGTGATTTACATATCACTTCTCTAACATGTATTAACACTAACATTTTATTGACCGGCCTCAGATAGTCGTGGTTTCTACATAAACCCGATTACGATTGCTTAACATAGCGCTAAAGTGTCCCTTAATCGGAAAATGATCATTCGTGGCTCAAACTTACGTTTAAAAGTCCAAGTATGATTAGTTGCTTGTCTTAACTCCAATACCTATGAAAATCATTGTTAGGAGGCTTTGATTCTATCAATCCTCTAATGAATTTTCATTAATCTTGGTCTAAGTGCAAGAACTAATCATCATTGATCATATGTTCTAACCACTAACCACTAATTCACTAACAATATCCTTGTTTAATTTTGTTTATATTCTTTTCTTACTCCTTATTTTTTTACTTTTATGCTTCCATTTTATCATTTCATACCATATCTTTGTTTATGTTTATGTCATTTTTCTTTTGTCCACTTGGACCATACTTTGTTCAAAACATTAATAAAGGATAAAACATCTAAAAATTTTGATGCTATTAATTTTGTGGTTATGCTCTTGGACTATTCTTAGACTTTGGACTTCATGGACATTCTGGACTTAGGATTAGGACTTTCTTCCCTATGCTTGGAGTATCGTGGATCTTAGCCTTTATTTGGCTCGATCATTGACTTATGCTTTAAATCGGATGGAATTCTTTTTGCTTGCTTTGGAGTGTGCTACAAGTCGGTTAGATCTTTCTTATCTCTAGCTCTTATTTTGTTTTTTAGGATAGTCACTTCATCTCCTCCCCTTCTTAAATTTTCAAAAACTTTCTCCCTCTTTCAAAACCTTCTTGGTTTCAAACTTCAAAACCGCTTTCGCAATAAAACCTTGACTTTCGTCAAGCGATTTTTAAACTTTGTTTTTTTTTCTTAATAAAAGTCAATCAATGTTAATCATGTTTTGACCAATTTCAAAAGACATAAAAAATACAAAAACTCATCAACTCTTTTTGTGCCTTTATGCACTTTTTCACTTTAAAACTTTTCATAAAGTTTAGACATGATTCATTTCTATAGTTGAGATGTAAATCTCCTATTCCCTGTATTATTAAGACTTTGACATTTTCCACGTTGATGTTGAGTGATAGTCTTGTTGATAATCCAAACAAATCCTCCATCTTTATGTGACGCAAATGTTGTCTTAATACTCGTGGGTGGATAGTCGCAGTTTTCTCCTTGAAATGACGACTTGTCTGAACATCTAAAATCAATCAAAACCAACAAAATTTTGTCATTTGTACCACGAACTACGGGGTTTTGATTCCATATTGCACTTTATGGGTACGTAGGCATGAGACGATAAGTCTCTCCAAACACAAAAATCTAAAAAAAATATTCTCTTCTCATCTCCCCAATCTCTTTTCAAACAAACCATTTTCAAACCAAAAGCGTAAATATTTCAAAGGGCTCCTATAGAGTACTATAGACGTTTTGGGTGCTAACACCTTCCCATTGCGTAACCAACCCCCTTACCCCGATCTCTGTCTCGTGTTCTTATTTTAGAACTCTTTGGTTTTGTTCGCTCTTTTTCCTTTCCTTTATTTGGATAAAATAAAAGTGCGGTGGCGACTCTTGTTTTCTTTGAGTTAAGTTAGTCAATAACTTACACTCACAATTTTTACCGCTACATATACGATCGTCCTGATCAACTCACCGTGCCTCGCACATCTCCCACATCAATCTAATTATTTTATTTACATTCAACACTATGTAATTCACCTATTAGCACCAAGTATCTATTCATCACATGGATACATATATCATACACCATTCAACTATATCATTTAATCCACATATAAATAAAGGTTCACCCTCCAGC